AATGCCTACGATTTAGTGGCAGGGAATGCTGGGAAAAGCCCCGTGCAGCTCCTTATCTACATTTATTACATCTGTCTATTAGGTCCATTGTGTCAATCTCCAATACAGCATGATATATGTGCTCTGGTCTTAACATGATTGACTGCAGTGGCTTCCACTGCAACAGAATGACTCTTTGTGTAACTCTTACTCAGAGAAGAACTTCAGCGCTCTGGGATTGAGATAGATGGATGGAGAGAGTAAGATAGGCAAATTGATGAATGATAAATGAGTGAAGAATCACAAGGGAAGAAACAGGGAACAGATATATAAGTAGATGGATGAGCTAGAGACATGGGATTTATTAGGGCAGAACCGAACAGTCGCCCATCTCGTCCTGTACCCTGTTAACCAATATCAGATGCTGCAAAAAGAGATAGCCCAACCCCTCCCACCACTGTGCATTCACTCACATACATTACACTGAGCTTTAAGGGGAAATTGGTTTTCATAAGGCCCAGAGCTCCTATCTAGCTCCAGTTGCTGTCATACCAGTATCATTCAGACAGCCAGTTTGTTGAAGTGTACTTGAATGCCTGCCACAATAATGTATCAACAAGTTCCACGGGCTAATTATGACATAGAGCCTGATCCCGAGTTTGTTGAATTGAGTGGATCAGACCTATATTACATAAAGGCATTTCCTATTAGCCATGTTAGGAGTTTAATATCCATCTTTTCTGTTGTCTCTTGAGTTTTCCTTTGACAAACAGCTGCCTGCCTAACTTCCTGTCCCATTCAAACATATCAAATAGCTCGGTCACAGTCCTTCTACTCTTCATATTCAGAAGCATCCATTGGTTTGTGCAGCCTTGCACTTTGCCCTCTGAACACAGGCTGCTTTAAATTTCCTTTAACATTATTGTTCAGAGCCCAAGGAGGGTATTTGTTTCCTTTACCCCCATGAGAAAAATATTATACAAAAAAGCCAAAGCAGCCAGCATTAGCAAAGGGCACAAATCATAAATGCACTTTGCTCTTGCACTTTTTCATAACTCCAAATAAATGGAGGTAAAAGCAGTAATGTTTGGGACAGCCAGCCTAACAAGGTGAGAGGACATGTCACACAAGAAATCTGTGTCAGATATATAATATCTATCTTCTGCCTTCAGATCCCTGCAAATCATGGCCTCATTCAATTCAACGGCAAAACTCCCACATATATCCAGTAGAGCCAGAAGTACATTCACAGGTTTTTATCTCAAGACTCATTTTCCATGAACGTAAAAGTATACATACAGCCCCCCCCCCTTTGTAGGAATCAAAGCTCAAACCTCTTAAAAAAGGGAAAAATATCATCTACTTTAGGTGTAAAATGGAATTTCACACCTTGAAATTTAATTGCAGAAATTGGTATTAGAAATACTTTCTTAGGAAAAATGTGTAGTCTGCTGTGCTCATAGAAAACCAAACACCACACTCCTGAGAATCTGAAATCATGATGAAGTCTAACTGACTGTTCTAGTCTAGCATCATTGTCTAAAAACAGGTCGAGTGGCAAATTTGACTTCTACATTTTTTCATTTCAACATTTTTGATCAGTGTCTTTAAAATATAAATTTAATTTTGAGTGCTTCCAACTCATGATTTTTGTTTTTGCAAGCATCACAATATTTGCTGATTGAGATCATTTCAGCTCTCATCACAATAAATAAAAGTAATCCAAACCTACGATTGCATGAAAAGCTTGCAAACGTGACCCACTCCCCAGAGTTTTCAAAATCAGAGCACACACATTAACCCATGGTATTCTGAAATACTGTGATATTTTGGGAGAGACCCATCTCATTCTTTCTGAATGCTCAGGGATAGTAATACTCGCAATCAAGCCTTCTAAATAGCATGTTTGCACATCAGTAATAATTCTTCACCCTTCATTTAACTGATGGCTCAAAATCTTTTGCACTGAACTGTACAACTTTCTCCATGGCCTGCCATGGGAACTCAGCTCCAATTTACTGAAAGCTAGAGTATGACAACTTAATTGACTTGGCTCCCTCTCTCCCAGCAAAACATCCCATACAATGCAAGTCTGTAGTAAAAAACAGAAATTGAACCCAGGAATCCTGACTTCTAGACTCTGGCTCTAGCCAGGTAGATAATATTGTTTTAGCAGATTATTTATGGCCTCACATCTCCTTACAGGAACACTGATATATTTGATCTGTATTTTGCAGTGATGGGAGAATTCCCCTTGGTGTGGCAGTGGTGGGTAGCACTTGGTAAGTTTTTTTATTTCTGATTGGGTTTACTTTATCCCCCTCCCCATCCAGCTGTTAAAGGGTATTGAGAAACTCTGCTTTGTGTTTAAAAGCAACTGCTTTGGTCCAACCACAGGTTTTTGGTTTTTTTTATAGCTACTGGTACACTTTCACTGGGATCTAACCTTGTGGGGTTTTTTTGGATGGTTGATGGAGAAGGATGTACTGGCAGATGTTGGTGCTGTGTTTCAAATGCACTTTTACCCTTCTCTTTCAGGCAGTGGCCTCTTTCTCATGATTTGCAATGGACAACTTGTGACCTACTTTGCTTGCAATGACTTCAGTTCTTCTGCCTTGGATAGCTTCTGATATTCTTGAAACCTCCTGGGATGCAAGCAGTTTAATACTTAGGCTTACAACCTGAGCATTCAGCTGGGCTGCCACAGAAGTATTGTATAGTAGCTGCTGCGAGTTCCAGTAGCCTGGTTAGAAAAGAGAAACATGCAGTGCTCGCAAGAGTAATACAAATTGGCTTGTGGTCCTCATTCATTAAGGCTAAAAAGACCTGCACAGTGTAGCCACCTATATCTGATGCAGCAAAGGCTAATGTGAATACAATCAAACTCCTTTCTTATGAGAGAGGAAGGTCAAAGACGAGCCTGGGCATTCAGGGTGTAATGTTCACCTCCCTGAATAAGTTGAATGGTGTTACTATCAGCCTATTTGGTCAGATTGGCTTAGTACTACATAGCAGTCCCTTGGGTACATGGGGTTTTTTTTTTTGCTTATCCTTTAAAGTCTCTATGTAGATTGAATCCTGTCTAATTTTATTTAATACACACCAATCATTTGATTCAGAAGTAGCACTAGGGCATATAAAACTGTCACTTCTACTTTTATCACGGTCCAGCAAAAACTCATCCCTACTGGGAGCTCCAAACCATCAGCTGCAGTGATAGCTAGGTTCTCACAACACTCTCACAACAGGAGCTGAGTGCTTCCCAACATTACGCACCCCGCTAAGACTGGATACATAGCTCTTATCCTTCCAGGCAGATAGGACAAGACTTGTGGAGTTTTTTAAATTGAAAGAAAATGGGTGGTAGAGTTGGTGTTTGCAATGCATTTGCAATGCATGAGAACTGCCACACTGGACTGAAGCTATGATTAATTTAGTCTAAGGTGATACTAGACAGAAATGGAGGCTGTCATGTGGTCATTGCTACTAAAACACAAGGTGATGTCAAAGTAGCAGATCCTTGCCAAGGACTTCTCTTGCTACAGTTTGCAAGGATGGTAGCACACAGATAGAGGGCACCAAATATGTATATTGGCATCTCCTCTTCTAGTCTGGCTGGAAATGCTATGCCCAATGAGAAGTGCTGGACACCCAGCTACATAGCGGGGAAGGTGGCTGGTGTTTGAAGAACAAGTAATATATGGTCATTAGATTTTTCTACTTCATATCATAGTCCTTACCATTCCAAAATCTGAGGTCTAATGGAAAGGAAAAACAGAACAGTTTAAGACAAAAACTTATGGTGTTTTAAAGTAAGCTTTGTCCACATCTGATAATAGCTGCCCTTGGCTGCCACTTGTCTTAGTTGACCATGCTACTTTAACCTTTGTACTGTGTGAATAATCTGTGGTGGAACCCTGCAAAGAGAGAAGGAAATAAATGCTTCTAGAGAAATCCCATGCAACTGTAAAACAGTCTGAAGTACAATGATTGTGACCGACTGAAGAGCAGCTGCACACACAAAGAAACTCTCTCATTACTGGCAAATAAGCTGGGTAAAAACCTAGATGACTATAAATATCCCAGGCAGAACACAGGATCAAAATTAGAGAATTTATTCTCCTTAACACTTCAACAATTTTTGCCCTAGGTCAACATATTTATAGCGATAAGATCAGCCCTCTAATTGCCATGACTAGAGGGATGCACCGATAAAGACTTTTTTTGGCCAATACCAATTAACCAACCATACTGGCTGATACCACTCTGATAGCCTATATGCAGCCCAGCAGCTTGGAAAGTAGTGTCTGGCCAGTAAGTCTGTACGGGGTGAAGGGGCACAGGGGAGGGCCAGATGGAGTCCTCCATGGTGAGGGAGGGAGTGGGCAGGGGCAGGGCACAGGACAGAGCTGTAAGAAGCTTGTCCGGGGGACATGGTTGGGGGGGGGGG